TGTTGCCTTTGGAAGGAACTGCCTGTGTCCGCCTGGACGCCTTGCTGTGAGCCCGCTCCAGGCTGCTGGCTGGCATTGGTGGCACAGCGGCTCTGTCCGCACAGTCTGCTGGCCATGCTGTGCAGGGTGGGGTTCACCTGCAGCACCCTGCCCACCACCTGCCAGCACCCAAGCCAGGAGCGTGCCTGTCAGGGGTCCCCCAAGGCTGGGAGCAGCAGGGACCAGCATTTCAGGCTGTTGATTTTTCTCACCTGCACCTCCCCCACATGAACGCCGAATGCCCACAGAAACCCGTTCTGTATGGACTCTCTGGGATCAAACCGCTTTTTTCTCTTTTGTTGAAAATTTTAATGATGTTAAAGCATATTGTATTGTATGTTTCTATTTGACAATAAATTTCTCTGGCCATAAAAAAAAAAGTTATTTCCAGAACCAAAGGCCTGATTTGGCTCCCTCAGCCTGTTGCCTTGATTTTGGTTATTACCTAAAGGGCCTGGTTGGTTCTGCTGACTGGCTAATGTATCCATCTTACCCCAGCTGCTCTATAATGCTGCTTGGTCTGCAGCCATCATTGCTGGATTAATACTGAAAGTCCCAAAATTCATCCCTCCACCCATATTACTACCTTGATTACTTACAAATCCAGTTCTACCCCCTCGACTATTACCAGTTCCACACTGATTTCCAAAGCCACCTGGATTACCTCCAAATCTTCCACTTTTTTCTGTCTATTGCTATTGTGCTTAGGTTCAGCATTGGATATATGTACACTGATTTCCCTTAATGATCAAGTCTTCTCCACAAAGAGACTGGGAAATCTGGTTATCTGCAAAAGTAACAAAGGCAAAAGCCCTTAATAGTTTAGGAATGAAGACATCCACGACTTCTCCATACTGGCAAAAGAACTGCTCTAACTCCATAGCAGTCGTATCTTCTGTACAACATCCAATAAACGCCTTCCTGCTCCTTAAAGGCTCATCTGGGCTTTGCTTAGAATTAGGAAGTTTGCATCCCACCTTCCATCTATCCCTGTGACATTACTTTCACCTGGGTTTCATATTCTGTAAAACAAAACCAAATTCTTTAGAATGACCAGTTTTTAGTTCTTTTTTGACCTGCACCATTAGAACTTCTCCACAAGTACTAAAATATTCTTTTAGATCGTGTTGGATTGTTTTCCATGGGAGACCCAACACTGTCAAATCAGATGTTTTCTGGACTGCTCCCGTCTCATCCATTTTTCTTTGGTTATCTTTGGAATAATTGACAGCATAGACCAGACTTCCCCAGCCAACATGGGCATGCAGAATTCCTTCTACTAGTTGGACTCCGCTCATTCACTGAGATGCTGGGTTCCTGTAGCGCCAACCACAAGCCCCTGGAAACTAGGCTGTGACTGTTGACAGCAACACTGTACCATCATCTTCTGATGGTATTTCAATAGGCTCGTCATTCTCATCTTCAGTCACCCAAATATACTCAGACATCTGTAGTTTTACAGCTAGACCACTGTTTGCAAACATGACAAGAAGACAGACAGCCAAGGAATGCTAGAATGGTAAAATTCTTAAGGACTCTAGACTTGAGAGCCAAAACCCCTGAAACCATTCCACTGGGTGAATCTTTAAATCTTAGACTAAAAATTAAGAAGTGGGTTTCTTCTTGTTTTGGTTGAAGGTTGGGTATGGACTGTTAGGTTGTTTTTATTTCACTCACAGCCATGTGCGAGCTGATTGGATTTACTGGATTTGGCTAACAGGCAGCTATTGGTTAGACGTCTCTGGTTTAAGAGCCAGTCTGGGCCTGGGCCACATGCCTGGGCCGTTTTAAATCAGTTGGTTTTAATTGTGTTTAGAATGAACATTATTGAGGTTGGACATTTAGGCTGTTGCTGTGTTCTTGCAATGGTGGATAATGCTGCTATGAACTTTAGTGTACAAATCTCAGTTTGTGCTTCAGTTCTTATATTCTCAGGGTATATTCCAAGGAGTGGAATAGCTGAGTCATAAGGAATTTCTGTGTTCAGGCTTTTTTAGTAAGCACCAAACTGCCTTCAAGAATGCTTGCACCATTTTACAATCCCACCAATAATGTATTCGGATTTCTCATCATATCCTGTCCAACATTTATTACTTGCTGCCCTGTTAAACTTTGCCATTCTTACTGGAGTGAAATGATACCTCATTGTGGTTTGGGTTTTTGTTTTTGTTTTTCAGCATTTGTGTTTACCCTCTTTTTCTTTATTATTTTTTTCTTTATATTCCTTTGCATACAAAATTTTTGTACAGTGTGTGTCATTCATGTATATTGCATATATTGCATTTTACACTTTTATACATTCACCCTGTGTTTCAAATAATCATGTATATTGTGTTTTACAAAATTAATCACCATTGATCTATGCCTGCTATTGGCCCATGTTTTCAGGATTTTTACATGTAGGATTTTTGTCATTCATAAGATTTTCTATTTTATTAATTTTAATGAACGTTTACAGAGGCTTAGGGTTTCCATTCATTCATTGTTGCACTTTTCTCCCTGCCCCAGCCCCCACCTCATTGTGGTTTTGATTTGCATCTCTCTTATTCCCAGTAATTTGGAGCATTTCTTCATGTGTCTGTTTGCCATTCAAATATCTTCCTCTGAAACTTCTTTCCATGTCTTTTGCCCATTTTGTAATTGTGTTATCAGTCTTTTTCTTGTGGAGGCCCCAGAGCATTCTGTAAACTTTTGTTATAAGATTCTTGTCTAAGATGGTATTACCAAACACTTGTTCCCAGTCTGTAGGTTTTCTTTTCACCCTGTTGGAAAATGTTTTTGATGCACACGTGGATTTAATCTTTGGAAGGGGCATGCATCAATTTTATCCTCTTTAGATTGTACATATCTGATTGCATTTGGCAGTCTCTTTATACTTTGGACTAGCACTTCTAAGCTTGATCCCAGTTTTTCTCTTATGAATGTTCATTCTTTTTTTTTTAATGGATCAAGAAATTATGGTACATTCACAAAATGGAATACTATGCAGCACGCAGGAGCAATAATTTTGTAAATTATTACCTAACTTGGGAGGGACTGGAGAGCTTTATGCTGAGTGCACTACCTCAGTTCCACAAGGATAAATATTCTGTAAAAACTTTATTGTAGAATGAGTATAAGGATCCAGGAGGGGTGGGAGAGGCTGAAAGCAGAGGGATGTGGATGTGCAGGGGGAGCGGAGATTAATCATTGGGTTGTACAATTTGATGGGTAGGATGGTGAGGGAAATGGAAAGAATTTGTTCAAATTTGTATTCGAGTTTTATAAACAGACTAGTAGAGGGGAAAAAAAGAACATTATTGTAAGTAGTACAGCACTGGTCTGTCAGTTTGCTCTACTGAGGTAACTTGGGGTTACTGTGATACTGAACGCTGTTCCACTAGTGTGTCAAATGCAATAATGGTCACCCATGGTGGACAGTGTTTGGTGGAGCTCCCAGATTAAGACAGGTTTGGAAGCAGGAGTGTCATCTACTTTCTAAACACCATGCCTCTGGAAATTCTATGAACTTAGAGAAATGACAATAGTTATAGAACAGGATTCAGATCTTTTGTTCATAGGGTCGCTATAAGTCATGCTCTTCTAGATAGCATTTAATAATACAACAACAAAAATCTCTTAAAGTCTCTGAAAACTTGGTTTTGTCTCTGAACTACATAGTAGTTGGCCTACTGAGTAGGAAGTTGTGCTTCTGACCAGTGGCCAGTGATTTCGATCCCACCAGCTGCTCCATGGGAGAAAGATGGCATTCTCCTTCAGTATGATTTCCAGCCTCTGAAAACCCACCAGCAATGAGTCAGCTCTGACTTGACAACAATGAGTTAAGTTGTTTTGGACATTATGTTCTTTTAAAAACATGATATGCAAACAAATGAACAGCAGCGATTTGAAAGATTGGCTAGTATTGAGAATGGCGGTATTAAAATTTACATGAATAACTCTTAAACTTTTGTGTTTTAGTAGCAACAATAAAACAAGTACACTTATTCATAACTCTTGCTGTTACATTGGAACTGACTCCGAGCTGACCTTCAGCAGATTTTCAGAGGCTGTAACTCATACAGGAGGATATTGCCCACCTTTCTCCCGCTGCTAGTAGATTCGAACCACCAGAAAGGCACTACAATTGGGTCAGCAGTGTAACTCCCTACAAACTGTGTCTTTAAAACTCAAATAAAGCTTAGGAGGAGATAAAAAATACTTAGGAAGTAAAAAGAGAACATTGATTCTCTTCTTGAGGAGGAAATTGAAAATCCTATGTGATCTTATTTTATTTCCAACTTCTAGCTGAGTCTGTTCCATTTTCCCCTCAGTGTCTGTGCTTCTACATCATTCCTTTTATTTTTTTTTTTTTTGCATTTATCTCCATTTGCTTCTTTTGAACTTTAAAATATTGGTAAGACAAAATACATAATGTGGGAAAGATTAGAATAAGAGTTGTTATGATGTACTGTTCAATCAGTTTACACTTAAAGCTCCCTGTGCTCAGCAGAATGAAACAGAGGAAGAGAGAGTACATTTTCAGCCCTGCTGATTGTGCCTCACCTACTTCCTCGTGTTTCCCGCAGCCAGGCCATGTTAGGTGAGAAGCTAGGAGGAGGTAACACCAGAATTATGAGTCCTTAATAAACTGGCTTACTGCTTAGTAGCATTTGCTGATTAAAGTTTTAAGGAGAGAGCCCTAGTGAAGCAGCATGCTCTAGTGATGTGGTGTTAGTCTCTTTCTCGGGATGGTATCACTGTGGAGACCTCCCTCTATCTATACAGTACTTTAAAAATAGTTGACAATATTTTGTCTATTGATAAGTTTTGATCTACAAAGTATCTTTATAGAGATGTATTTAAATCTTTATTTCTTCTTAATAAAAAAGCTTATTCATATTTAATTTGTAGTTATATGGCTTATTATGATGCATTTAGTATATCCAATTGATGAAGTTTTTGTACTACCTTTTATGAAGCCTTGTAAAGCTATCAGTGCAGAAAATGTGGACTGGATGTACGTGGAGCTCATCCAGCGGTGCCGCCAGATGTTCCTGACTCAGGCAGAGACTGCTGATGACCATCTCTATCAGATGCCCAGCTTCTTGCAGTCCATTGCCAGTGTGTTACTGTACCTTGACACTGTAAGTGAACCTCTCATTAATCTGAGCACTATTTTTGATATTAGCTTCCTTTCCACAAATACTTTGATGGACCTCTCTGATGTATATTTTATGACACTGTGAGGAGCAGAGTTTCGTTTTAAATTCATTTTTTGTTTCAGAATTATTGTTATGAAACTTGGTACTGTGTTTTCCAACTCAGTCACTCATTGCTGTCGAGCTACAACCAGCTCATAGCTGACCCTCCAGTGGATTTTCAGAGTGTAAATCACACGAGAAGAATATTGTCCATCTTTTTCTCTCTCAGAACTGCTAGTGGAGTCAGACTGTCAGAGAACTACTGCCTTTGGGCTAGCTGTGCAACTCCCTACCAGCCACACCAAGAACTCTCTTCATCTTTCTAAAAGATTCAGAGTTGTTCCTTGCGACAAAATAGTACCTTCATTATCATTCAGACAATTGACACTTTTTTTAGATAGTTATAAAAGATAAGCTTGGCAGATTTGATTAAAAAAATTTCAGATTTTTCTTCTAACTAGTATCTGACCAGGAAACCCTAGTTGTTTAGTGGATTGACTTTTGATTGCAAACCGAAAGTTTGGTTGTTTGAACCCAACAATTGCTCCATGGGAGAAAGCAGAGTCAGTCAGATCTTGTTAAGATTTATAACTTAGAAATCCAGTGGGCCAGCTCTCTGTCCCGTAAGTTCTCTGTGAGTTGGAATCATTGCACTGAGCTTGACTATTTTTGCATATATGATTGATGGAACTGTAATTACTTTGACTATTTGTGCTATTCATATATTTATTGCCATCTTAACTTTTTGCATCCTCTCACCCTTGGACAGGTTCCTGAGGTATACACTCCAGTTCTGGAGCACCTCATGGTGGTGCACATGGACAGTTTTCCCCAACATAGTCTAAAGATGCAGTCAGTGTGTTGTAGAGCCATAGTGAAAGTTTTCCTGGCCTTAGCTGACAAAGGACCAGTTTTTTGGAATTGCATTGGTACTGTGGGTAAGTTTAGAGTTTATTGTTTTGTTCTTGATGATGAATACTTAGTGTGTTATTTAAGTTAAAGAAAATCTGGTTGTCGAATTCTTCTGCAGCTTTTGATGCTTCATGGGAATTCTTGAGGCCTTACTGGACTAAAATCTCTTCTCTATCTCTCTCTTTTTTAATCTTTTTCTTTTTGCGTTTGAATCACAGCATTAGTTCAAATTTAAAAACCAAAATTAGCACACCCAGATTTATTGCAGCTTTGTTCACAATAGCAAAGAGTTGGAAACAACCCAAGGGCCCATTAACAAACGAATGGATAGAGAAGCTGTGGTATATTCACACAATGGAAGACTATGCTGCATTGAAAAACAAGGAACACATGAATTATTATACAAAATGGGTGACTCTGGAAGACATTACGCTGATTGAAATACCTCAGTCTCAAAAGGACAAATACTACATAATGCCACTGTCGTAAAGCGGGACTTACATGAGGGTTGGGGAGAAAGTAAGAAAAGTGGGGATAAATAACGTTTACTGCATTGAAACAGATACAGGAGAGAATTATTTAGGAGGAATATATCATTAGGTATTATTGTCATGACAAGAGTCCAGAATGAAAGCTGCATAGTGGAGTGAGGGGGATTGTATAACAATGAAAGAATTTTTTATTACTTTTTGAAGAGGAAAGCAAACTGGTGGTGAGGGGTGAGCAGGGAGGAAAGTGTGTGACAATGAATGAATGGAAATCCAAAGTCTCTGTAAACTTTCATTAAAATCAATAAAAAAATAAAAGACATGGGAAGTAAAATTATGATAAAAATTATAATTTCTGTTGAGTGCGTGGTTTGTATTTTTTAATGTGTCTTTTTTTTTCAATTTTTCTTCTTCCAGTTCATCAGGGTTTAATCAGGATATTTTCTAAACCAGTAGCTCTTCAAAAGGTAACTTCTGAGTCTAATGTTTTTAAAATTTGTCTTTTGCAACAGAGAGTTAGCAATGTTACTTAGGTTAAATATCCAAGAGTGGTCTCTATTAGTTATTATTGTTGTGTGCCATCAAGTTAGAACCAACCCATAGCTGACCCTCCAGTGAGTTTTCAGAGGCTATAAATCTCATGGAAGGAGATTGCCCATCCTTCTCCTGCAGAGCAGCTAATGGATTTGAACTGCATACCTTTGGGACCACTAGGCCATTTCTGTATCTTGTCAGGTGAATGAGCTGCTCATAAGATAGAAAATATCCTTAAGTATAACTTTGCTATTACATAGAAATTTATACAAGGAAATTTTAAAAAATTTAAAAAGGAAATGTTTTCTCTTTTGAAACTCTTAGACAAATATTCAAATGAATTACAGAAGGCTTAATGACTAAGAAATGTATCAAACCAAGACCCACTGTCTATTCTGACTCCTAATGACCTCCATTGAGTTTTGGAAGCTGTAAATTTTAACCAGAGTCTTGTCTGTCTCCAGTAGAGACATATGGGAAATGAGTATAGGGAATTGGATAAGGGAGAAATTGATATGTAAGAATGGGAGTGTCCTCATTGATATGTGATTGGAGTCCTTCCTGAACCCTCAGTCTAATTTTATATCTATTATTGGGAGCTTGCTTAGTTTCAGAAATCCTGACACATAGCCTGAGGATGTGCGGGCTGTTGGTGACTTCTGTGTGTGCCTTCCTGACAGGATACCTTGGCTGAATCTGAAAACCTTCGTGTCACTGGGGAAGTGCAAACTGGCAAGTGGAAAGTCCCAGTGACTAGAGACTATCTGGATCTTTTCCGAAATCTCCTAAGCTGTGACAAGATGACGGTAAAAGTTATATTTTTAAAGATATACAGGAATCTATTTATTTGCAGTCAGAGTTTTACAGAAAACAGTGTTCTATTTAGTAACAGTGTAACTAAATGATTTCTCTCCTGCGTACCCTCTTCTAAATCCATCTTGAATTCCTGACAGTTTTTGTCCATGTATTATTCAGTGGTTTTGAATAATCTTAAGGAAGATTTTACTTACATGCGATATTAATGATATTGACATATATGGGGACACAGAGGAGATTAATTGGTTTTTGCCAATCTTAAAGCAGTTTAACTTGTAAAACAAAAACACCCAAGCCTTTGCAATCAAGTTGATTCTGCTCAGACACCCTATAGGACACATAGGGTTCCCGAGGCTGTGATCTTTATGAATATAGACTGCCACAGCTTTCTTAGGACTTCAAAATATTGCTTTCATACCTGAGCAATTAACTAAAATACTGCTGTAGTGCTCCAAGCTACTCCTTGGAGGCAAGGATTCTGAAGCTTCGTCTGACATACTTTGGACATGTTGCCAGGAGGGACGGGTCCTTGGAGAGGGACATCATGCTTGGGAGGGTTGACGGACAACGCAGGAGGGGAAGACCCTCTATGAGATGGATTGATTCGGTGACTGGGGTAATCGGGATGGGTGTATCAGAGGCAGTGCGGTTGGCGCAGGATAGAGCAGAGTTTGGGGCTGTTGTGCATAGGGTCGCTATGAGTCGGAAACGACTCGACGGCACATAACAACAACATACTAAATATTGGTAATTTATTATTTTTCTTTATTTGAAGGATTTACTCTTAGCAGATGAAGCATTTCTTGTTGTGAATTCCTACCTCCAAAGACTGAATCATTTGCTGTATGATGAATTTATAAAATCTGTTTTGAAGATTATTGAGAAATTGGATCTTACACTAGAAAAACAAAATGTTGGAGAACAAGAGGTTAGATGATTTTTTTCAATAATAATTTTCTATCATTTTCATGCCAATTTTCTTTGCATATAAATATCAGAGACAAAATAGCATATTTTTAAGGGATCAAGGAAAATTGTTTGCTTCAGGATTAATATGTATTATTTATACATTTCTATTGGACATAGCCTAATTATAGAAAATGTTATCATTCACTTGTTTAAAACAAGAGTAATTGATATGTTAACACAATATTTAAAAAAATTTGGTTACTTATTTCTCCCTCCTCTGCAATAATGAAGTGAGAGGTATGTGTTACTTTCTGTAGAAGTAATGTGCCTGTGGAATAGGGCTGCCTGGGAATCTTGGTCACATCTGTGGAGGCTCCAGGTTCTGAAATGCCAAGTGTTAGATATAAAAGCTGTACAGGGGCAAGAAACTTTTTCCAGTGCTGCCGGAGACAAAAAGATCTCCCTGAAACTGATACATGGAGTTGAACTTAATGTGAGATAGAAATCAGCATGAGAGACCAGTAACCTTGTGAGGTGCAAGACATCACAGAAATGACTTGTGGTCTAAACAATCATATCAAAGTGTTGCTGAGGCTAGGGGATTGCTAGACAGGATAGGAGGGAGAGCAAACAATGCTGATGTTAAGGGAACAGGAAGGGACAAGACACACATTTGGGGGAGGGCACTGCATGTATCTTTGTAAGGGGAAGTGTCTTTTATTTGCTCCTTTCACTAAAATGCTTGTCTGTTAGATGTTAGTGGTTCCAAAGCTAAGCATCCAAAAATTAAGACAGACTAGGAAAGAATCATTGGCCATCCACTCCTAAAATATGACAGACCTTCAAAAACCCTATGTACAGAAGAGTACACTTAGAGTAAACTAACAAATATGGCAACTAAGTCTGAGCTCTCAAATTTAGGAACAGAGGAATAGGAGCAGTTGTAAGCATAAACTAATGATTGGAACGTGGAATGAGAGAAGCATGAATGTAGGAAAACTGGACATCGTTAAGAAAGAAACAGACCTCATAAATATTGACATGTTAGGTATTTCTGAAATGAGATGGATGGGCATGGGAGATTTTTAAACAGATGATTGAGATCAAGCATCTACTATGCTTGAGATGGAAAGGTGAGAAAAAATAGGGTCACTATTATAGTTTAAAAGGCTGTTTCTAGATCCATCTTGAAATACAGTGTGACAGGATACTATTCATACACATACAAAGAAGACCTCTTAATACCACTATAATTCAAATTTATGCATCAACAAACAGCCTATGGAAAAGAAATAGATGATTTCTACCAACTTTTGCAGTCAGAAATCAATCGATGTGAAACCAAGATGTATTAGTAATAACCGTGAATGAGATGCATTAGTAATAACCGTGAATGACTGGAAAAAGCTGAGAAGCAGGAAGATGAATCAGCAGTTGGAAAACATGGACTTGGTGACAGAAATGAGGCTGGGGATAGAATGATAGAATTTTGCACAATAAATGATTTATTCATAGCAAATTCCTTTCATAAGCATAAATGCAGACTATACACATAGATTTCACCTGATGGGATGCATAGGAATCAGATTGATTACAGTCCGTGGAAAGAATCATTGGAGAAGTTCAAGATCAGCAGTGACAACTAGGTCAGGTGCTGATTGCAGAACAGACCATCAACTACTCATAGGTAAGTTCAAATTAAAGCTAAAAAGGGCAAATCAAATCCACAGGAATCAAAATTTCACCTTAAGACTATCCCACTTGAATTTAAAAACCAATTCAGGAACAGGTTTGTGGCCTTAAGTTCTAATGAACGAAGATCATATGAACTTAGGGAGGATATCAAGAATATCATCCACAAAGAATGCAAAAAATTATTACCAGGACAGAAAAAGAAGAAAAGACCAAAATAGATGTCAGGAGAGACTATGAGTATTGCACTAGAGTGCCTAAAAACCAAAGCAAATAGAAGAAATCAAGAAGTTAAGGAGCTGAATAGAAAATTTCAAAGAGCAGCACGGGAAGGCAAATTATAATGAAATTTGCAAAGAACTGGAGTCTGAAAATCAAAACAGCCATAACTCTCTCGGCTGAAGGAACTAAAGAACAAATTCAAGCCTCGAGTTGCAATACTTAAGGATGCTTTGGACAGAATATTGAACGATTCAGGAAGCATTAAAAGAAGATGGAAGGAATATACAGAATCACTGTACCAAAAAAGAATTGGCTGACACAGAAAATTTTCAAGAAACAACATATGATCAACAGGTAGTGGTGATGAAGGAGGAAGTTCATGCTATTCTGAAAGACTTGGCAAAAAAATTAAGCCCCAGGAATTGATGGAATACCAATGGACATATTTCATCAAACAGATGCTACCCTGGACATGCTTACCACATTGTGCAAAAAAATCTAGAGGACAACTATCTGGCCAACTAACTGGAAAAGATCCATGTTTATTCCTATTCCAAAAAAAGGTGACCTGACAGAATATGGAAATTATCATACAGTCTCACATGCAAGCAAAATCCTGCTCAAGGTTATCCAGAAATGACTGGAACAGTACATTGACAGAGAAATACCAGACGTACTGGCTGGGTTTAGAAGAGGCTGTGGCACTAAAGACATTATTTATCACCAATGTCAGATGGATCCTGGCAGAAAGCAAAGAATACCAGAATGGTGTCTATCTGTGTTTCATTGCCTCTGCAAAGGCATTTGACTGTATAGATCACAAGAAAATTGTGGTTAATCTTGAGGAGAATGGAAATCCCAGAACACTTGATTGTGCTTATGCAAAACCTATACTTGGACCAGGAAGCAGTCCTTAGAACAGAGCAAGGAAACACTTCATGGTTCAAAATCAGGAAAGGAGTATGTCAGAGATGTATCCTGTCTCCATACATTTACAATCTATATGCAGAACAGATCATTCAGGAGGCTGGGCTTTCTGAGGAGGAATGTGGTATCAATAACCTGTGTTATGCAGATGACACAGCCCTGCCTGCTGAAACTGAAGAGGAACTGAAACACTTACTGCAGAAGATCAAGGACTGTAGTCTTCAATATGTAGTCTTTAGCTCAACATCAAGAAGACAAAGATTTTCACCACTGGGTTAATTGGCAGCACCATGATGGAGAGAGAAGAGATGGAGGTTGTTAATAGTAACAGCTTGCTTGGCTCCACAGTCAACATGTTTGGCACTGGCAGTCAGGAAATCATATAAGGTGAATTACTTTAGGCAAATCTGCTGTCAGGGACCTTTCCGGAGTACTGAAAAGCAACGATGTCAGTCTAGAGATCAAGGTGTGCCTGATCCAGTCCATGGTCTTCACATTTACTTGCTATGTATCAAAGAGCTGGATAATGACTGTCTTTGAGTTGTGGTGCTGGAGAAGAGTCTTGAACATATCGTGGACTCCCAAGAAAACAAATAGGTCTGTCTAGGAAAAGGTGAAATCAAGTTTCTTTTGGAGGCTAGGATTTTGAAGCTCCGTTTCAACATATCTTGGGCATGTGGTCAGGAGGGACCAATCCTTGGAAAAGGACATCATGCTTGGAAGGGTGGATGGACAGCACAGGAGAGGAAGTACCCGAATGAGATGGATTGATACAGTAACTGGGGTAGTGGGGGTAGGTGTACTGGAGTCAGTGAGATCGGCTCAGGACAGGGCAGGCTTCAGAGCTATTGTATATAGGGTTGCTGTGAGTCACAGGTGACCTGACAGCACTTAGCATAAAAGATGATAGGCAGAGAAAGGAGAATGTCCAGTTTTAGGTGAAAGAAACAATCTGGCTTCAGGCTGCACCAGGTGCTCCTCTCCTCTCCTTTCCTCGCTCCTCTCCTCTCCTCATCTCCCCTCCCCTCCCCGTAGTTCTAGTAAGAAAGTACTATTGTTTTGAGGAGTGTTAAATGGCTCTTGAGCCCAGTAGTGTTTTCAGATTAGATAATCCTGTTAATGTTAGTGGATATACTTCTACTGCAATGCAGTGAACTTGGACAGAGTTAGTGGATAGATTCTTCTGCTGCAGTGCTGCTTGAACTTGGACAGGAGTCAATGGGGATGACAATGCAGAGGCTATGGTAAAGGAAGCCACTAAGAATATTTGCTGTGCTGATATCATTGCACTTATTATGTTCAACTCTTTGTGCTATTGATGATAGTATGTGAATTATTACCTTTGTGTAATTTATGTCTAAAATGTTTCATGGGAGAAAAAACCCAAAAGATTGCCAAAACTTACTGGAGCTGTCTGCCACAAACTTGATTTTTACAACATAGTATCTGTGACATTTTTTGTTGATTTCTTTTTCCAGCCCTTTTGCTTCATTTTAGTAGAGCAGCTATGAACTCATTAGTACTTCTCAGTAAATCTCAATTCTTACCAGCATCTACAGACACACACATTCATATTTCCACCTTTGTGTTTAGCAGCTCCTGAATTGAAATACAATTTAAATAAAAACCCAATATTTAAAGCTGAACTTTGAACCTGATGAGCTTTGCAAAAGAGTTCTGTTTCTTATGTCTTTCTTATTGATGTCACTTGTTTTTCTACTTCTCTAAATGACACTTTGAAATCACCAAGTTATTATTAATATTTTGTACTTTTTGCAGTTCTGCTCTCTGTTGGTATAATTGCTGGTTCCATCAGGCATAATCACCTTCTTTTCAGCCCCTAAATTTCTGTTTTATCCCTTTGCTGTTTTACTTTCCATGTATCCTTTTACTTAAGGTTTATCAAAAGTTTCCTCATTAATAAGCTCCTGTTACATACCTATTTTTCTGCATCTCTTAATATTACTCTTTTGTTGGTTGGTGATTGTTCAGCAAAATTGTGACCAAATGATGTGATGTTTAATTCACCTTTTACCAAAATCAATTTTTTAAGGATGAGACTGGAGGTCTTGGTGTCTGGGTTATCGCAACTTCAGATCCAACTGCTAATCTGCATCCTGCTAAACCTCAAGATTTTTCAGCTTTCATTAATCTGGTGGAATTTTGCAGGTACAAATTTTTAAATTTTAATTGACTAAAAGAGAAAATTACCAGTTTTTTACTATACTATAACAGAAACATTTATGTTTATAAAAAAATGAGGTGGTTGAAAACTTGAAATCTGTAATAATTTATATGAACCTTTAAAATGTATTTAAGTACACCAGCTTTTTCAGAATTTCTTTCTCTCTCTCTCTCTGTTCATATATTCATATGTATAGTGTTTAAAAGATATCTATATAGATCGAAAATAACATAATGGAATTGTAGGCTTGCTTCAGTCATGTCCCTTATCATTTCAAAACTGAGTAAAAATATAGTTAAATTTTCCACATTAAGCTGTTTATTTATTTTTACAGAGAGATTCTTCCTGAGAAGAATGTGGAATTTTTTGAGCCATGGGTATATTCATTTGCATATGAGTTAATTTTTCGATCTACACAGTTGCCACTCATCAGTGGTTTCTACAAATTGCTTTCTGTTGTGGTGAGAAATGCCAAGAAAATGAAATATTTTAAGGTACATTTTTCCTGGAGATATTGGATATTTCTCTCTTTATTTTTTTTTAAAAAGCTACATGTGCCTGTATAAAGTATTGTAAAGTATGTGACTGTAGCATATTATAGTTTTAAAAGCTACTATTATATAAATTTTAAAATATTAATGAATGAGTTGAATGTAAACTCTTTAAAAGAACGATTTTGTAATATATTCTGTCTGTATTGATTTTCTAAGACCTATGGCTGAGTGTGTTTGATTAGTGGGCTTCCCAAAGTGGGGTCCCACTATCAGCACCAATAATATTCCTGGAGTCACATTTAAAAGCAAATTCTGAATCCCTTTCCAGACTCACAGTAGTGAGAAATATGAGGCTGGAGCAACATGAGATTTTACAAGCAGCCCCCCGGAAGAACTCCAGCTGGCTGCTGGAGCTATATGGCTGTGTCCTGCCCTGAGTTCCACAGGCTTATTGTGTTAGGTGATGCGTGAGAAGGGAGCCTCTCACCCCTTCTGCACCAGTCCACATTCCACTTCATGCTCTTTTTCTGACTGCCTTCACCTTGAACTACGGTCCTGAGCTACCCCCACCTCCTTTCTCAGCGAGACCCTATCAAAGTGAAAATTAATTAAACAAACCATTTGAGGAGAGGTTGAAAGTACTGGGTGGGGGTGCAGAGCTAACTGATTATTGTCCTGTGAACTGATTTGATATTTTACCTCACAGGGTGTTAATCCAAAGGATCTGAAACACTTTTCTGAGGATGAACAGAAGTATTCTTGTTTTACTTTACTTGCGAAATTTGGTAAAGAGGTAAATTTAAAGTGATTTATATTTTATGTTGTGAGCTGTTATAAAATAAATATATTTTGAAAAATATTGATCATATTAATCAAAACTTAAGCATTGGTCTACTACAGTCTTAGTAAACACTAAAGAAGGAAATCATTGTATTTCAAGAGGGCTTTGAATTTTCTTAAAATAGGTTAATCAGAATTCCTCATTTCTCCCCTATCTCATTTATGGGACATTATATATTTCAACAAATGTGGTTTTTTTGGCCATCACAACTTCATTTGTAGATGACTATGGCCATATCTCATGATACGTGCTCATTTTTCATGTTTGAGAATGAGGTAAATACATCTTAACTGATTTTTTAATATGTACTATTTTCAGGCATGTAGCACCATCTTTTTCTCATGTCTTGATAGGTCTCCATTAAAATGAAGCAATACAAAGATGAACTTTTGGCCTCCTGCTTGACCTTCATTCTGTCCTTGCCACACAGCATCATTGAGCTCGACATGAAAGCCTATGTTCCCGCATTGCAGGTAGTTGCATTTCCTGATCAGGCCCATTTCTTGAGCCAAGCCCAGTTTCCTTGGAAACACTGTGGTATCACTTTCCTGCAGGTGCTTCTCCACTGGGCTGCAGTATTGCAGTCCTGTAGGTCACAGCCCTGCAGATGCTTCACCACTGAACTATGATGTCACAGTCCTGTAGGTGCTTTACCACCAGGCTGCAGTATCCCAGCCCTCCAGGTATTATCCCTGCAGGTGCTTTGCCACCAGACTGCAGTATCACAGTCCTGCAAGTGATTTTCCCACCGGGCTGCAGTATTACAGCCCTGCAAGTGTTTCACCACTGGGCTGCAGTGTCACAGTCCTGTAGGTCACAGCCTTACAGGTGCTTCACCACTGGGCTGCAGTATCTTATTCCTGTAGGTTACAACCCTGCAGGTGCTTCACCACCGTGTTGCAGTATCTCAGTCCTGTAGGTCACAGCCCTGCAGGTGCTTCACCACTGGGCTGCAGTGTCACTGTCCTATAGGTCACAGCCCTACAGGTGCTTCACCACCGTGTTGTAGTGTCACAGTCCTGTAGGTCACAGCCCTGCAGGTGCTTCACCACTGGGCTGCAGTGTCACAGCCCTACAGGTGCTTCACCACTGGGCTCTGATGTCACAGTCCTGCTGTGCTTCACCCCCAGGCTGCAGTATCATGGTCCTGCAGATGTTTTTCACCACTGGGCTATGGTATCCTGGTCCTGCAGCTGCTTCACTACCAAGCTGTGGTATCACGATCCTGCAGGTGCTTCATCCCTGGGCATCCTGGTGCAGGTTTTCCTTCAGCTGCTGTTTGGCTTTGGAGTTTGAAATACTTCACTGAGACTCTAAGCTTTTAAAAATTATTTTTGTATTTGAATGAAAGCTTACAAATCATATGGTTTTTCAAGTGATCATTCATACATGTTTTGTAAATTATAATAGCAATTTTATCATTCATATAATGTTTTAACAGTATATGTTATATAGTAACATTGATATATAATGTTGTAACATTAACTACAGCTTATTAATGTGGCAAATTAATTGTAGTGTGTTATCAACCCCTTCTTTTTTTAAAATTGTTATTGTATTATTTTTAAGTGTACCATCAAATCAGATCTGACTGGTACAGAAGGAGATTGCCTCCTCCTTCTCCAGCAGAACATCTGGTGGATTTGAACCAATCCCTTCTTGTAGATTGCCTTTTCTTTCACTTACCTTGTTGTTGTTAAGTGCCATTGAGTTGTAGACGACTAATAGTGACCCTATGAGTGAAAGGCCTTAACACTTGTGTAATTTTCATCATTTCTCTAAATTCAGAGTTTCCAGACGTAAGCTGTTTCGAAAATGAATGCCAGTCCTGCTTCCAAGCCTGTTTTAATCTGGGAGCTCCACCAAACACCACAAGTAACCATTATCGCATTTGACACGTCAGTGTCACAGTATTTAGCATCACAGCAACCAGGAGTTACCTCTGTACAGCAAATGGACAGACCAGTGCTATACCACTTAGAAGAATGATTGACCAAAAACAATAGAAACCAGGCCTGAAGGCTGCAGATTACAATTACCCACCTTTGGCTTGGTAGCATAACCTTCAATCCACTAGGGCAAAAGAGCTCTCTTTATGACTTACAGCAGTCTGTGAAGAACAGATCTAACCTTTGTCCAATCCTATGCCAACCCCACAATCTGAGACACGCTCAAATCCATTGCTAGTCACTGTATCAATCCATTGTGTTGAGGATCTTCTGTTCTTCTCTGGCCTTCCACTTCTCTCAGCATGATGCCATTTCCCAAGGACTGGAACTTTAAACTCTTGGTTGTTGTAGTTAAGTGCCATCATTTACTTACCTTACCTTTTTATTAATTTCTACTTCCTACTCATTCATGGTAACTACCCAACAATGATTTCTACGTGTAAACCTTTTTTAGATTTTTATAATGGTGACTGGCTCTGAACTTTAGATGCTGGATTTAAACTCTCTATGCCTTGTGATCTTGTGCGACAGTCCCAGCCACATGAAGAGATGCTGATTTACTTTAGTGAACCCTCTTAATCCAGCCGTGTCTGGTGTTCCAGTAGTAGGAGGGAAAAATCATTAAAACCACAATTAATTGTGATTTTTTTTTTTGTCTATAAACCTGAAATTCCTGAGTTTCTTTTTGTCTTGTTTTTATTAATGGACAGATGGCTTTCAAACTTGGTCTGAGCTGTACTCCTTTGGCTGAAGTAGGCCTGAATGCTCTAGAAGAATGGTCAGTTAACATCAGCAAATATGTAATTCAGCCATTTTACAAAGACATTCTACCATGCCTTGATGGGTATCTGAAAACTTCAGCCTTATCAGGTAAAGCTTAGAAGAGTTGTGTGACTCTTAATTAAAATGTCAATGTCATAACTATTAATAGATGCAGTTTTGCAACTTAGGAATTTGAACTTATTAATAAATATATATTTAATTAATTTTTTTTATTTCTTGAATTCATTTCAATATTATTGGCAAAATATGAGATCTAATTCAGGCATTAAAACTATTTTTAATTTTAAAAGACAGTTTATTTTTGTTGTTGTTAAGCAAAACATATGCCAGTCAGTAATCATGCATACACAGTGCAGCATCATTGATCACACGCCTGAAGTCATGCACCCATCCCCTTCCTCCTTTGCTCTGTTGTTGCTTATGCAGGAGCATAAATTCACTGCCCCTAGCTTTTCTGTCCAAGTGTTCTTGTCCATTTGGGGACATATAGAAACAGCTTATACAAGCAACATGCTCAAGGCAGACCTGTCTTACTAATTAAGCTATTACTTGGTTTAAGAAGACTTTGGGGGATGTTTTTGGGTTAAACTTTAAAGGCTTCTAATTTTTTGTTGTTCTAGAGTGGTTTAGGATAATGCATTGTTACTGGAAAAAGACAATTCTTCCAGCCTTGGAGACAAGAGTTTAAGTGGAAAAAGCAGAAATTTTGTTCATTTGCAGTCATACAAGAGACAGTCTATGAGCTTTCCAAATCTTCCTCTACTTTGTTAGAGCCTGTGGGGCTACTAGAGGGAGAATGTGGGAAATGAATGAGAATTCCCACACTCTTCTTCCTTTATCTGTTTATTCAGACCTGGTATAAATCCTTTGCAAGTAGGTCAAACCTTGTCAAAGACTCAAGATAGCTATGCTTTCAGACCAAAAGAGAAGTAATTCCTAGGTGCAGGATGCAGAGTCTGAGGGGAGTACATCCTAGCTGTGGATTGCCAGGTAGGACAGAATAAAATTCCAATTATCAAGTTGCTCTCAGCTTTTAAATTGCTGGGCAAATGAGTAGACATCTGTGAACTGACTTTTGTTTGATAAGGAAGTTACTTGCTAGTTTAAGAGGAAGAGAAGGAAAGAAAATACTTCTTCCTTTTAAACAGTTATAGAAAGAAACATTAGTTTTACTTCTAGTTTAGAATATTGCGAGAACTTAGTTTTTATTAATTGGGGAATAATTGTTACTGTTGTAATGTACCATTGAATAGACTTCAACTCCTAGAGACACTATGAACAACACCTTTGAACCTTATCCTATCCTGAGCCAACCTCACCATCTCCAGCACACCCGAGACCATTGATACAGTCATTGTATCATTCCAGCTTGTTGAGGGTCTTTTCTCTCTTTCTGACTCTCCACCTTTCCTAGCATGATGTCCTTCACCAAAGACTGGCCCCTCCAGACAACAAGCCCGAAGTGTGTCTTTGTTATTGCATTTGTTTGCTACAAATGAGAACTTTTCTTACCTAAGATTATGCAAAACAACATTCATATATCTTCTAGTTCTGTCTAGTTATGAGAATCGTGTCAACTTAGTAGATGAGTAAACCTAGTCCTTCAAGCATGACTTCTCAATGCCATTTTCCATGAAGAGGAACTAGGACATCTTGAAGTAATGGCTTGTTTTAAACTTGTTGATAGGTGCCATTGAGTTGAGTATGACTCATAATGACCCCAGGAACAACAATCTGAACAATCTGAATCCGAATTCTGGTGCCATTATTATCAAACACGATACAGTTGAGCCCATTGTTGCAGTCACTGTGTCAGTCCATCTTACTGGGGATCTTTCTCTCTTTCCCTGACCCTCCACATTTCTAAGCATGATAATCCCTTTCCAAGAATTAGCTTCTTATAGCAACATGCAAAGTCAGTATGTTAAATTAAACTTTGTTATTTTTGGCTCCAATGAGCACTCTGACTGCGCCAGAATGTATCTGTTCTTTTGACAGTCCCTGGGATATTCATTACTCTCCTAAGAAAGGAAAAATATGAGGTGAAGCTGGAATATTGTGTTTTCTGGTTTCTAGAAAGCAGAAGTGTGTTCAGAGAATTACAGGGAAGTGTTACAAGCAGAATTAGGAATAATTTTAGCATAAGCTATTTCAGAAATAGATAACTCATTGCATCAAATAAGAAAATATTGAGAGAGACAGATATGAATAAATAATTTTGAAAGCTTTCTAGCGATATTAGCAATTAACAAAAAACATGATGCTTTCTAATGACCCCTTTTGTTCTAGAAGTCAGATGGGCTATGTAGGGTTCTCTGCTCAGTGTCTTATAGCCAAAATCCAACTGTTGTCCAACCAGGGCTCTTACCTGGAGTCTCTGAGCCTTAGCTGCTCAGCAGTAGGAACTGGTAGAAAGTACTGGTCCTCATTTCGTCCTGGCCATTCACCAAGATACTCTTAGCTTCTGAATGCTGGTCATGCACATGGCCCCTCCATGCAGATTGTGTGTTCCTCCCCTGTCAACATAAACTCACTGCCTTCCTGCGGTTCCTAGTTAATCTTTCCAGTTACTGTTGGCACTTTGGTCACAGTTGTTGTTGTTGTTGTTATGTGCCGTCGAGTTGTTTGCGACTCATAGCGACCCTATGCACAACAGCCCTAAACCCTGCTCTGTCCTGCGCCGACTGCACTGCCTCTGACACACCCATCCCAATTACCCCAGTCATCGAATCAATCCATCTCATAGAGGGTCTTCCCCTCCTGCGCCGTC